CAATCCGAGCAAATATCTCCGTGCCGTAAATTCATCATCATCATCATCTGAAGGCTCTTGTATGTTAATGATAAAATTCTAGTAACTCCTCGGAATAAAGTAATCAAAGTTTGGCGCGACTCGGAACTTTTCCAACAATGCACATGTCGAAACTGGCGAGGAAACGCGGATCGTAACGAAGCCGCAATAACGTTATAACTCTCAGGCTAAAGCCGGATTCATTTCACTTCGAAGAAGTAAGAACATTTCGATTGTACTCCTTATTATTTTCCATAGGTATCGTAAAAAGAGACAGTGTGTAGGAAATTACAACTTTTTGTGGGTGTTTTAAAGGGAGAGTTTTCTCCTTTCTTATACATGCTATCTAGACGGTTACAACAGTTGCTGATTCAAGATTAAACATTAATTTCTTGCGGCGAATGCAAATGCAAACGTCTCGGCACACATTCACTGTGAGGCAAATCGAAATGAGAGAACGTGAGCGCGAAATATTTGTATAAGTCGAAGCTCACGTGGGTGGAAAAGCAAACTTGTCAACATGAATGATTGGAAGTACGCGAGAGAACAAAAGTTTCAAACGTGATACGAGATTTTCCAATAGCGTCGTGATAAAGCTGTTGAATTTGACGTAGCATTGTTAATTTTGTAGAAGGGCGCAAGATTAATAACGTGGTATAGTAGAAGAATGTCTGTCGTGGGATATTTTTTTTAGTTTGTGGAATTTTACGAAGAAGCTATTCCGTGTAATTCGGCATTTTTGTGATATGTATTTTTCGTGTTCCTGGGGAAAATGTCGATGGAGACTCGAGAATTTTATGTATATTCCACTCGCCTTTAAAGATTATAACAGCAAATTTTGTTGTTTCAGTTCCAAAGCCTCTGGGCGAATGTTTTATTTTTCCAGAAAATCCGCCAGTTCGCGGTATAGCGAAATTTGATATAGTCTCGCATACCACGCATAGAGCGCACCAAGAAGAAAATCAAATAAAAATCGGTAATGTATACGCTCGGAATAAAGCTTTGCATGTCTTTTGAAATATGTCCTGCACATGATTGCAAAAGAGTGCTTTGAACATAAAATCGAAAGACCTTCCCTTCCATTAAAACTGAAATAATACCTGCCTATTTCCATCAATTTTACAAGAACAAAATTATTCCTTCAGACATTCAAATTGGTGGGTAAGAAATTTTTTCTTTGCCGGTAATAGTTTCTTAAATTATATTTGATTAGAACAACCTAATATGAAACCGAAATTACACCATAGCCTTATCCGATGTAGAATATTGTAAAGTCATGTTCCTAACTCATACTCAACCCGACCCGTAAGTTTATGATCCATGAAAATAATGGCCTACCTGCCCGTTACAAACAGAACACGGAAGAAAATGGGAAAAATTATTCCTTACTGGCCACATAGAATGATAAACGTTCTACCCCCTAGTAAAATTATCTACTTTGAAACGGTCAACTGCAGTATTCTAAGGTTGTCTTAAATATTTATGAAGGGAATATAGGGTTTTTTTATCACCTGTCCTTACCGGATATATCAAAGTAACGAGACGCCAGAATTGCTTCCCGTGGATGAATGAATTTTACACGATATTACTTCTTTTTTCTTTTACAAGGAAAGTTGGCTTTAGGAAAACTTTCGTCGCGCGAATAACTTCGAACAAAAAAAAAAACTTATATTACTACGTTGAATTATTTTTTAGCCACTTAATTAACTTCCCATTCGAAATGATCCCATAAAAGCGAACACAAAATCTTTATTCGCAATAAAACCGTTTTAATAAATCACGGCCGAGAAAAGCAAATAACCATAAATCACTTTATTCCTTATAAACAGGAAAACCGCCATGCATTTTCAATAACTCCAATTCTTATTTTTCAATATTTTGTAACCTTATACGCCACATAAACGTTATCTATATTCAGTACCCGTTGTTTCAATTCTCGAATAAATAAAATGTGGCATAAAACGCGGGATGATGTAGTTCGAAGGAAATCCTACCAGACCGCGCCAAATTGAATCAAACACTACTCCTCGCGCATACGAAAAAAGGAAACACGCAAATGTAATTCCACGATACAAATGTTCGCATTGTCACTGGTTAATTGCGAGCGACAAATCGATATATCGCAGCGAAAAAGAACCACAATTCAAAACGGAATCACCATTCTGTAATCTAAACTATATAACCCAGATAAAAGCGCAATAAATTGAAAGCGTCACAGCGAGCAGGAATAACGTGTGTTCGGTTATAATTAACGGGTAAACCGCAAATAATAGTTTTTGGCGTCATTGTTTTCAGCTCTGACATATTGGGCATTAACACATTTAACCGTATAAATACGTATGTGCGTTAGAACATCCCCACGCGAAAAACACCGGAACAAAATGAAATTTTCAGCTCGAAAATTCGACCAAAAAAAAGTTAATCCGTCTGGCGTATTTTTACGGATTTATGTTTTGACAAAATCCGAATTCAAATTCTATTCGCGCTTTGCCTCAATACCTGCTTTAATTGATATCGATATCACTGTTTGCAGGAGGTAAAAAATAGGTATTTACATCGAATTTGGAAAATAAAAGTGCGTAAAGATAGAATATAGTAGGATTATAATAAAACCCGGATATACAGAGTATTCAAGAAGTAAGGAAACGATCGAAACTTCAGGGTAGAATCATATGAAGAGTTATTTGTTGAGTACAAAATTCCAAAGGAAAGAAAACAACGAGAATAATAAACGTAATGTTTTCCGTATACATTCGATTGGACTAATTTCGTTACGTTTTTAAATAACGTGTCAGTAAAGCATTCGTTAGTGAAACGTAGCGATTTTGCCGCCTCCCTTTTTAGGACGCACGGAACAAGAATTTGATTGGATGCTTATTCGACCTCGAACAAAAATCGTCTCGCTCTCCGTTCCCAATCAATCTCCTTTTTTTTTTTAAATTCGATGCCCGACTCGTTCGACTGCCGTCGCAAACTAACGGGGGAAAAATGTAAAAGAATTTCCGTTAATTAACGGGGTCGCGTTCCGGATGTTCCCGGAAAAAAATCTCCCATGGCGTCTCGGATGATTACAGTGCGTTTACCAAGAGCATCATGTTGTCATTAGTTTGGAGAGAATAAGTTATTTTCCACTTAAAAATTGTTGGCGGGATGGATGGCGCGAGGGAAGGCATAAATTTCAATTTCAAAAACCTTTTAAAGACGGGTTGTGTGTGAAAAACAGTTTTCCTCTTCCCTATAGACAAATCACGGACTCGTTCAGCCCGATTTTCCGAAGCGTAAAATGAAACCTAATAAGATTTCAGCCACCCTGATTTAAATTTAAACATATTAGCAGAAACCGTATCCTAATCGGATAAAAAGAAAAGAAATAAGGGAAAGCTTATAATGGATTAAAAACGAATATACATAATATTGCATGGCAGTAATTACATTCAGAACGCAGTGTTAGTGGAAAACTCATCTTGGGTATAAACAAATAAGAGTTTATAGAATGGACGAAGCGACGTAGGAAAACACCAAAAACTGGGAAAATTCGAGACTCTAGATTGCGGTTATCGTTCGAGAGAAGGTCCAAACCGAAAGTATGAAAGGGATTTTCAAGCAACTGGATTCGAGGATTACTTGCCCGACGTCGAATTAGAGAAAAGCGAAAACAAAGAGGGTAAAATACAAGATGGCTTCGAATTTTTAGTCGTTAGGGAAACGCGAATTTTCTTTGACGAAGAATTTCCATTAGCAATTTTAAATGCAATTTCACCTATACAATTTCAATACTGAAAGTAAACATGTTTTCGCTGTTTCATAAAAATGCACTTCTCAACGTATAATTTGATTACACGATTTCAATCTAAAAGCACATTTACCAAAACGTATTAGTTGAAAAATAATTACGGTTATCCTGGATCTACATGGATTGGATTTTCGCTGGAGTGGTAGTTAATTGAACTCGTCCATCAACTAAATAAACACATTACATCCCCGCAAATCGTTAATCATAAAAGACATCATACCGGAATCAAAAAAATGAGAATGTAATATTCAGCAAATGCGAGTTGGGGGCACTCGTAATAATTAATCATTTAAGGAATTTGTTTAATAATTGTGACAATGCAGAATATGAGATTTGAAATTACACTGGTAGTGACACGTATGTAAATATGTAAAAATATTTTAGACCATATCAATTTAGATAATTTTTATTTATTAGTTTATCAATCCTTAAAGAATGGAATTTATTGAAGTAACTATTCACAATTGCAAGAAAAATTTGCTGGTGTAAAAAAGTTATTCAATGTTAGAATTTTATTGTGAAAATTCTTTGTAATTCAGGAGATTAAAGGATTCATTTTTATGTAAATATCCACTCCAGCAATCTCCATAGCAATTTTAAAGCCAGTAATATTTTTTATACGACAATTTTAGATCAATTATTACATTTTGGTTAAAAGTTAAATATTACCTATATACGTACTATAATTTAAAACAAAATAATTTGTGGTTGAAGAAAGTTACAGCAAGGTAATAATAAAAAACTTTAAATAAAATATTACCTAATGAATAATAAAAAATATTTTTTTGAAATCAAAATAATGTTAGGTACTGATATTTTAGGGGAGGTTTGTAAGAGTTGAGGGTAAAACATAATTGCAAAAATGAGTAATAATATAAATCCAATAACAAATGATTGATTTTCCTTAATTAGCAGTATTTAAGAATAATTTTTGAGTACAGGCTAAAATGGGTCAATATCATCTTACACTTTTTACAACTTTGTATGATCCAAAATTGATTAAAATAAATTAATTAATGGCACAATTTTAATATCAAAACAGTACATTAAATTAAAATTCTTTACAAAAACCATATTACAAGTAAACTAAAAATTTTTATGGGTTCTTGTAACAATAAAATTCGCAATAATCCAAACATAAACAAACGACCTACACCAGTGAGGTTAGGACACGTTTTTCCAAACTTACCTGATTCCTGACGTTAATAACCAACTGCGTGTCCGTAATGTCAACCAGCAAGCACAAATGCAACAACAAAACATTTACCAAAACGAAGAAGTTCCGTTTATCGCGCATTTTCTCGCCAATTTCGTCTACCAATTTTTGACGTTTACGAACGAACGACCAACATATTTAGCCGGACTGTTAGTCACACAATGCGACGAGGATCACGCCGGGTAGGCAACTCAACACGCTGACGGGAGCTGATAACCACTGCGCATGTTTCCCAACATGTGGATTTCGGATGCTATCGATTCCATAGGCGCCACTTGCGTCGCGCCAAAAGGCAACTCTCATCTCCAGTCCGTTGGTAAAATCCTTCTTTAAATTCGCTGCACTGTCTTTAATCGCTCATGGATGGATTTGGTTCCTTTACATTCACTGCATTTTTCCACCTACATCAATAAAAACATTCCCAGTCAATTTTGGGATGTATCGGAATCTAAACCTCTCTTCATTCACTCCCACTTCGCTTAGTTTATTCCTAAACAAGAGCTCCTCAAGTTTCCAAATTAACTGTAATAACTATCAAAACCTAAATCTCTACAATACTTAGGTAAACATTCCAGTTTCACCAATCCTGAAGAAGAACTCTTCCATTTATTACATACAATACTTAGGTAAACATTCCAGTTTTACTACTCCTGAAGAAGAACTCTTCTCTATTGCATTTGCTAATAACCCTAATAAGTTCTAAACATTCCTTGTATGGGTATATACTGAAGAACTTTTTCAGAGACAATTTCAAAGAGTCCATGTCTATATCTCTCCCCTCCAATTTATTCGTTAAGACATGCAAATCACATTTTTCTGAACCCTCTAAACTCTAAACCATCTTTCCAATAAACCTGCTTTCTTTATTCTTGAATAAGAAGTCTTCCCTTTCAAAATTTTCAGACCCTTTCTACATACCTCTTTTTACCTATATGCATAATTTACTAAAATTATCATCATTAACTCTCGCAACCACTCCGACCGGTTGGAAATACACAATGGAGAAAATGGATCTGGTGCGGTCCCGTCCATGACAGAAGGACGAGAATGCGAAATTGTTTAAAGTTGTCGGGCGCCCTTCCAGCCGGAATGACTGTTTTCGGGAATTTCCACCATTTCCACCGCTTTATGAATCATTAAGGAATTTATGAGTTACCCCGAAATGGAAATTTTGATGAAGATGCATTAGTTGTGTAGCGACTGATTCATTTGCAGCCGTCGTTAAATGCGAAATTTACGCGGAACGTGTAAACCGGCTCCGCGTCATAAAGTCCGCATACCGGTATTATAAAATTTTCATTGAGTAAAGAAAGATATTAAAATTTAGTGTATTAATGTACTTTTTTATTCAAATTTTAGGTTGTATAATCATAACGTGAATGTCCATTACATTGGTCCCGGTATGCCCGATTTTGACTAAACATTCTCCTCCATTATACTTTTCATAAAAGCTATAAGCGTCGTTATTGTTGAGAAAGGATTCCGGGTTAACATCGGGCGTGTTTTCCGGAGAATTCCTAATTGCCATAGCTCCTGCGGCGTCTGTCGGTCCGTCGATTCCATCTGTTCCGCAACTTAAAAATGAAATATCCGCAGATTCTATGGCTTGCTTATTAAGTTCGACTGAAAAAGCCAGAGCTAATTGTTGGTTTCTGCCTCCTTTTCCGCTCCCTGTGACGGTTACGGTCGGCTCGCCTGGAACAAAGTGATATTTAGCCATCGCGATCCCGACAAGGATTCGGGATTAATTAGACAACGGCATGATTAACGTATGTGTTTAGAATTTCCCGCAACAATGGGAATTTTAAGACCACCAGTCGCTCCGTATTCGACGAGGATTTGAGAGTATCCATCTAAATTGAAAGATTAATAATTAAATTATCGTTTGGATAGTTCGATCAAGGATAAATCTTTTACTGGATTCATGGGGATTTTAGTGAGCTCCTGGACTAAGCGCAAAATCCGCCATTCGGAAAGGTTTCCGGGATGTAATGGTCATTTCCTATATAGACTAGCATATCTGAACTTTCCAGACACTGGTTCTCTATTATTTTTTCGCATTATTTCATTCTGAGACATTCATACCTTTCGCGAAAAAGCGTAACCTTTCTAAAGAAAACGATATTTTTACTGATACTGCCATTAATGTATGAAAGAGGTGAAATTGAGGTGGGAAAATATTAACTAAAAAACTTTTTGAGCAATAAACCGCCTTGAAGCAAAATCAAATAATGTTCGAATCGTTATTAACTATCAGATAGTGAAGGTTTCGATTCGAATCGTTCTATCGATCCCCCAAGCTGACTGAAAAATCGGCTATTTCGAAGAGGATTCGGTATTTGCGAATTGAGAACGAGTTAAAAAGTTCCCTATACCTGCCAGATCAAACGAATCCCAATCGGGTAATCCTCACCGGGAGCGCAGGGGAAACAGCCGATGGTTTAACACGCAAATATCTGAAAAAAGTTTCCCGAAGTAAAAGTTCTTCTACTTTCTGGCATTCGTAATCGTGAGCGGTCATTTTCGTTCAAAAGTCGAACAAAAATAAGCTGTTGTTTAACGAATTTTAGATATGCGAAAAAATTGTGTTTATACATTTATTTAATTAGGAAAGATTTTGCGTCGGCTTAAGGAACACAAAAATACGCTCGAATTATTATATAGCTGCCAGAAATTTTATCTCTCGCGCGAATTTCTCAAGAAAACTTCGCCAACTTTGTTAATAATTCAATCTCTGGGGAGATTACAAAATGTAAATAATGAAGCAACGTTTTATCTTCATCTCATACACGAAGCATCCTGCAATGTTTCCAGCTGGAAACGTACGACCGTAATTACTCTTACCGGCAGATATCAAGCAAATCCCATTCGAGTAATCCATATCGAGCAGCTCGTCGATAAAGCCTTGTCGAACACGCAGATCCTCCGAAAAAGTTTCGAGGAAAACTTTGAGACTGTCCTTGTTACCGGAATCGGTAATTACGGCAGCGACGTTGCGTGCCAATTGCGCATAAATTTCGCTAATTTTCCGCACGTCTCCCTCGATTCCTGTGGATATGATGGCTGATTGAAAGCCCTTGTTTATGGCCTCCTGCTTCGCCGCTTCGGCCGCTATTTTGTTATTGCCTGCGAATAAAATTAACTTTAAAACCTTTCCTAAAAAGCGGGTAAACACGGCTATAATCGCATTGTAGGCAGGGTGTAAAAACAAGCTTTTGTACTAAAGCTCCTGCACAAAAAATAAAAACGTAACTTTCGAGTAATTTGGTATTCTTGGTAGCTTCAAAAAACAGGGAAATGTCCCATATTTTTAAAGGAATTGACGTCTGTTCCGAAAAGTCGCGGATATAAAATATGCAAGGCAAAAGACACTTCCGAACGAGTTTCGCTTTAAATAAAACAAATGGGAGCGTAGGTCGGTCGCGGATATGTTCAAATTCCGAAAGTTTAAATGTTTTAAAAGGAAAACGTCATTTCGTTTTGTAACGCCAACTTAAAATATGCACGAGTCGAAATTGCATCTCGTTATTCCCGGAATGCTAAAGAACCGTCCGTTATTTTAAATCGAATTAAAGCTCCCCATGTTGTCAGTTCTACCCTACTAAACGTGCTATCTATTTTTACTCTTTCATTGTTATCTATATTTGGCTGGATCAATAGAAATATTTACCTATAACATACGTATAAACATGCTGGTATTCCCCATCAACAACATCGCTCCTGCACGAGCATTTTCCCTTCTCCAAAACGGTTTTAACGCTGGCCGGTACGTCGTGGAGCAATCGGTATTTCTCCAAAATCGCCGTCGCCATCTCGGGGGGATCGGCGTCGGGTATCGTCGGGGCGCTGGCTATAAAATCCACCGGATCCCCGATAATATCGGAGAGCACCAAACAAATAACCGGACAGGGATGAGCGAGCTCCGCCAAGCCGCCGCCTTTCAATTGGGAGATTCGCTTGCGAACGCAGTTCAACTCGTTGATGGTGGCACCTACGCAGAAGAAACGCCGGAGGGAACGTAAATAAAAACTTATCTTATGCGATTATTATCGATTTGTATCGGTCATTGGCTCCTGGATGTTTTCGCATAGACTCCAAGGCGCCTTTTGTGCAGTACTGTGCACTGTAGTAAGTGAATTACGAAGTAATTGCTCTATTTTCTTTTTTTTATTTTTAGCTCGTGGAGGTAACTTAATTAATAATTAGGAAGGAGAAAATCTCGAATTACCTTTTCTCGACAACGTTCTAACTAAATTTTGTTTTTCCTCTAGGGTAATTGGCGGAATTGGCAATGGCAGAAGAGCTGAACCTCCTCCTAGAAATAATTAAAACTTGAAGTAGAATTTTAAGAAATTAAATTGCTTTTAGCTAAGTGCCCCACTCTACCATTACACTTGATTTTTACCTACTAACTTGTATATAAAAAATATCTTTATTCTTTTAGAGCGTAATTTATTCCAGCAACTCACCAGAAACCAGTACAATTAATAAATCATCCTCGTTTAGCTTTTCGACCAAATCCTTAATCATCCTGGCGCCCTTTGAGGCCGCCTCATCGGGTAAATTGTTTTCGGCGCCTTCTATATACTCGATTCTCGAGCCGGAGGTTTTCCCGAATTTCTGGAAAATCCCCACGGGTACGTTGACTATCCCCCTCTGGAGGCGGTCGCCCAAAATAAGCTCCAGCTCCTGCGCCATGCCGTAGACAGCCTTGCCGAATCCTACCACATGACAAGGCCGCTTCAAATCGTAGCTTCTATTTCCCACTAACAGAGTTCGCTCTCGTACCCGAATTTCCTTTCTGATAAGCGTTTGCGGTCGAACGGAGTTCACGGACTCCATGAAAATGTCTCGGAGGGTTCCACCGCACGACGACATGGCTCGTTTTGGCACAATCACTGATAGAAGTTTGTTCTTTTCCAGGCACAGGACGGGCGAGATTAGCTTGCTCGCGAACATTTGCCGGTTACTGTGGTACAATTTTATTATCTTCTATCACTGTGGAGTAGATAACAATTCTACATTCGATAATAAACTACACTGAGATTCTGAATGAGGTTAACCAAGTGTTGTAGTGAGGTAGCGATTTATTGACGCTGGTCCTTGAATGCGTGTTAAAATTATTATCTAATACTAAGGAAGGATTTATTGAGTTTTTTGTGTATCTATTTAGAGTAAAAGATAATTGCTCTGTAGTGAGGATATTGTTGGGAATAAATACAAATGAGAACAAAGTAGAGTATAGAGTAATTTCCTGGGCAATATGTATTCTTTAAAATATGATCGAAAAATCTTAATCATTGCAGAACAAACTCCTTCGGTAGTTAATATACATACAAAAAATTTTGGAAATCGTGACAAAAATAATTATGTTTATGATCAATATATTAGAATCAAAACGTGAGTTCAGAACAGTATCAACTCGATTTAAACCGAGGTCAGAGTTCAAGTCAAACTTCTTGCATTATCATTGCCATTTTTTGATATGCGCCAACTATTCAAAATGATCAAAATTTTTTGATTATTACAAACATTTTAACGCCAAAACAAACTTTTTACCCCGCTGTTGAAACAGTTCACCATTCAACTCTTTGCAAGGTTATTTTTTACCCAAATTGCACGCCCATTGTTCCAGCTTCATAATGCGTCCGGGAAAAGGTACGGTTACTTCACGCCACGGTTGCGTAGCCACCCTTCGGCGTCGGATCGAGATTGAAGTGTAACCGTGCGGAAGTTATCACTGGTGATAAGTCATACGCCGTGACTTCATCTACTCCGGCTAATAAACGTCACCCTATTTAAATCGACGCCCCGTCTGCCGATCGGAATTCGTTTCATTAAATCAAACGCCAATTTTCCTTCTGTGATCTCTAACGATCACTACATGCCTACCATAGTTCTAAAGTTATTTATTTCTAAATATCAATTAAATAAAATTTAAGAGAATGTACTGAAAAATTGGGCCAATTTTGTCAAGCCAGTTGTGACCAGCTGCAAAATGTCCATTTTTCTAAAAAAATCATAATTTTGGGCAAATATTCCCTTTAGAAGTAGGTTTTATCTAATATTCAATTGACTTTGGAAATCTATAGGCATAGTATAAAATTACTATAATATTACACGTCCCTTGTAACCGCTATTCATATTAATTCAACCTTAATTATCCCCTAATTAATTAGTTCTACGTATGTAGGGGTATTCTATAATTAATTAGATATATTTTGTTTTCTCCTATTTGGTTCCTCAACTTAGTTATGAGCGAACTAACTGGATTAACAAGGACATCAATAATTTCGTTATCATGAGTAGGTACATTGGATTTACCACATTTTACCACAAATTATTTGGCTATTTCCCTCCAACATTTTAACCTATTTTATTTGCAATGAAAGCATATTTGTAAAAAATTCGACTTGTCAATTCTGTTGTGAGCGAATTTGAAAATGAGTTAAATAGGTCGAGGTCCAAAACGGTTGGTATTGATCCCTCCCTGGGGAGCGTGCTCAAGATTTTCGCTTCCCTTCCTCTTCCTGCTCTGTTTGTACGCACAGCACATAGATATGGCAGATATCGGATGCATCGATGAATCCCCTCCTGTTTATAAACTCGCAAAAAAATTGGCATATAAACGGTTCTTTTCAGGCAGCTTTTAAATTCTAATGTATAGATAAAACCTTCACTGGTTCGTGATATTTTATAACATTGAATATTTCGATGATTATTTACCTACGCATGTTTTTGTACAAGATTTGCATACGTTAACTTTTGTAGATAATCTGGGATTATTAAGATATGTTGAGAAAATTTATGTGTGTAAGTACTTGAGATAATAGCAACAGTCCACGCTTTTGATAGAGGTTTTTTCGTAAATGAGTGTAATACAATCAGAACTCAATTCTTGTAATAAATGCTAGTTTTAATGAAAGTTTTAGAAAGTGTAAAAGTTTCAAGAGATGAAAAAGTTTTTGAATAAATAATGGTCATTTGTTGTTGAGCGAAAAATTCATATACATATAAATAAATCGTTAAAAAACTAAATGGTGGTACCAGTATTAACATATTTCGCCTTCTTCATGCCCTTATCTACTCTCTATTAGTCTATTTTTTAATAAATAAGAAAATATTAGTTATTTTTCAATTGAAGATCTCATGGATCTCATAAATTTATCCTTTGAATTAGATAGGTAAAAAAGTGTAATATCAAGATCTAAAAATGAATTTTTCAATTTTTGTGTAAAAAAATGTAATATTTTCACGTCAAGGACGTACCTACCGCAGAAGGTGCGGCGTCTCCCCGGCAATGTTGCTATGATACCGGAGTTAAGTGCAAAGAGCTAGTCTTCCAACCGTGAATAAATCGCTTCAATTGAAAAGCATCTCGAGAATGTTTTATTAAAATCGGAGTTAATCGTTCGATTTGCCCGTTTCCAATTTCTATATACGAGTAGATTGTTTAATTTTTATGTGACCAAGAAAGAAGAAAATGTAGTTTTTCATTTAGATATGTAGGCAAGGAAATGAGAGACTAAAAGTCTTTCAAAAATATTTGGTTTCCAAAGTTATGTTACGCAACTAGAATGAAATTTAAATTTTTTCTTGATCAAATTTTGAATTAATTTTCTCATACCTACATATTATTATTGTTTCCCTTAAACATAAGCTTTATATATCGCTCCATTTCCGATTGCAACATGGTCATTTCTATGAGTGGAACAAAGAAAGATTAATAAAATAACAGTTGTCAGAGTGAAAAGTTGCAATGACATAAATGTCATTCTTTCCTTTTCCTTTATAAGTGTCTAATGGAAGTTGTCTTTATCGCACCCATGGCCTATGTAACCTATGTTGCGATCAAAAATGGAGCAACCTGTAGATATATACCCTACTTTGGTATTATTATTCTTCATTGTGTTATTTTTTTATTGCTAGTCTTGTTACTATTTTGTGTTATTTACTAACAAAATATATGTATATATTTCAAACTTTTATAATGTAATATTTTCCAGATTTTATTACAGATATTCTCATCGCGAATTTCCTCGGAACTTAAACATTAATAATAACAAGATTCTTGATTCTCAAGTCAAGACAAGGAATTCATGAGATAATTTATTCATAGACATTTACAAAATTCCTAGTGTAAATTAGCTTATTTATATTGTTTTAGTTATTTAGAGATTTCGTGTGTTTTCATCGTTTTATTCCCTGGATTATACTGAATAACCTATTAAGATACTATTTGTTTTATTTGTTGTAAAGTTAATTCAAAGATTTAAGTTAATTTTAAGCTCAATATTTTATAATTAAAATATTTAGATATACTATAACACCAAGTAAATTCTTAGCATAGTCAATTACATCTTAATTACATCTGCTTAGTCCTCTATTTAGTGCTCTAAATAACTTGAAGTATTTAAGTATGTAAGTATTGCCTAAAGATTTGTATACTCATAGGAAACATTTACGTTCGGAAGCAATAAAACTTATGGCAATTAAAGCAACAATTGCCGAAGAACTTAAGCCCAAAGAAACATAAACCCAACAAATTATACAAGTGCAAAGTTCGTACCGATTAGCCCCGTTCCGCACTTTTTTAATTTCCCAACTCGAAGGTGGCCCCAGCTAGTTATGATTCCCCCTACCCGACGTCGAATTTGCCCAAAATCAGTTAATGAGATCTCTAAAACAATCGTGGAGCTTTCCAAAATGGCCGTCGAAACTGTTCAAATTTTTTCCGACTCGAAATTGAAACAATGTGAAACGTAGCGGAAAACCCGCCCCCGAAACGCCGGTTGGCTGCCCGCCGAAAGGGCACAGTGTAACGAGACCGGGGGCGGCCAATGGGCGCCGACGCCCGGAGACGGCGCCGGCTCGTCTGGCGGTGCGACGTCGGGACGCAAACGTTACCCGAACCTGACATCGGTTGCAGGCTTCCCGATATCATGGTAAGTTCATTTATTTCTTTTATATTTTATTTATAAATTATATTATTATAATTATTATTCTTTTTTTTATAGAAATGTTTTTAGTTTCGTTAGGTAATTTTAATTAATGTGTTTTAGTTAATTTTATGAATTAGTTCGAGTGTGGTTGTTGGGGGGCTATTTTTTTATTTTTTGGGAATTAGTTTATATGGTATTTTTCAAATATAATGGAGTGAATTAAAAATAACACAAAGATAAAGTTAATTTTTACATTGTTTAAAAATAATTAAGATAAGGTAATTGTAAATTTTTAAAAAAGTAGGTAGAAAATATTTTTGGAAATTAAATTATTTTGGTCATCAAAATATTATCTACTAATCTTTACTATTAAATGAATCATTATTAAATCAAAAATCAAAAGATTAAGCTAATTTTACCTAAAATATTCAACTAAAATTGCACACAAATTATACAAAAAAAATTCAAAAATTGTATGGAAACTCATTATGATAACTTCTAGAAGCACCCAACTAAAACGTGAGAAGTTAAATCTAAACGATTTGTAACGAGAAATATTTGTTATTTCTAATAACAATAAAAAAATACAGCTTTATTCTTCTTTAAAAAAAATTCTTAAGGAATTTGTTTCTAATTTTCAGCTTTTGTTCACCGAAAATTCAGTGTTTAACTTTGATTGCAGATCCGAAACAGTCCGATTTCGTGCCGTCACGAGAAGTGATAAAAGTGCTATCTCGCGAGCTCCAGTGTAACGCGACGCCGACGCCTACCGACGCGGACAAATCCGTGTGAAGTTTTCCTCGAACCACTTGGGAATACTTAACAGCCGCTAATAGTCCGCAAAATGGTAGCGGGAGGAGGATGGTGAGTAATTATATCCTAATGCGTCCTGACGGACTCCCAAAATCCAATCACCCCAACAGAAGAAATCTCTCGAAATTCGATTGCATTTATAAATTGTATTATCCGAGCTTTATGAAACTTACCCTGATCCATGAATAATTATTCTCTCTCAAATAACAAACATATATCTTATAAAACTACTGGTAACCGATAATTTATACATTTCCATTTAATTGCACCCCTTCAATATTGCACGATAACATTTTTTACTGCCGCTATACGAGCGATCATGGAGCTTCCAGCAAAGGCAGTTATGACGAACGTTTCCAGTTCATCCTCTTTACTGTTCAGTGGTTTCGGCTGATAGCGCTTCTAATCCAGGATTTATGTTATTTCTGGATCCGCCGGTGCGTTTCGCTATAAACTGATTGCTTTGCAAGATCCCGTTCCTGCAGTACACTACAACGGTTTTTTCCGTTTATGGAATTATAGATATCGATTGGATGGCGATAAACTTGCAAGGAAGTAATCTTATAGAGATGTGGAACTATTATTTTGTATTTTATAATATCATTCTAGAGAAGGCAGATTCTTCAATATGCCTTCTCTTATTTCATCAGTATAATTAACACTATTATAGACCAAAAATCATAATTACCTGTAACAAAAAACTCAACTAAACCGCATTTATTGAATTCATCCGTATTATTAACGGTTAATTAAGGAAATAAAAGCGAAATCCCGAATTCCTTATCGTTTTCCTCAACGCTGATCATCGAATAAAGAGCAACGCGTAACAGCCAAGATGAAATATGATGCGGCAGATAAATCATTGCGCCTATAAAAGTAAGAGAAGTGCTAGTTAGTTTCAGTTATGACTTCATCGGAACTCCGCGAGTTATTTGTTCGTTGTTGTAAGCTAGATTGGGGGAGAAGAGAAAAACATCCGATAAAGTAGGTCGAAGTGCTCCACTATATGGCCAATTTTATTTTATAAATTATGGAGAGTTATTTGAACGAATAGGGTAGGGCAGTCTTTGATTTGTTGTTGTGGAAAGAGTTCGATTCTTGTCTAGTTCTCTACGATTGTTGAATATTGATATTGGATTGGAGTTACGTTTGTCCATTTTGATTTTTATGTGGAGCCACTGTGCAAAGAAACAAATAGGGGCTACACAACGAAGATAAATCTCAGGAAAATAAAATAGGAGCATGACAAAAAGGTTTTTTAGATTTATATTTATTACAAGTAATATTTCACCATAAAATAACCTCATTAAAATTGCTCAGTAATTAACCAAAAATCTACTATGCACCAAATTTTTCATCGCGATGATCCAGCTAATGGAATAACCTTATAATTCTCCTTAGCAAAAGGAGCCAATTTGCATAACATCGATGTTGATTAGAACGCACTTTTTTATCGTCAACCCTCCCGAGAAAGCGCCCGAAAAGAAAATCTAATATTGAAAACAAAAGAATCGAAAACGAATAAAAAAACCGATGATATCCGATTCGATTTGCCCTAATTGCGTATTGACGTACGTGATCAAACTGCCAAACCGGCTGATTTAATTCACCAAAAAGAGCGAAACACACCAAAAGATATTCGAAATATATCTTCCTCGGCTCCTTTTGAAAGTTCTATACTTACAAGTCATTTGAAACAATATTAACTGAAATGAAAGGTATTCGACTATCAACTGCATTGATCGACGGAATTTATGCAATTTTTCTCTGACAGCAGCGTTGAATAAATTTTGTCAGGAGTTTTTTTTTCCTGGCGTCGCATTAGCGCCCACTTAGTAGTTACAGTACATAATGGCAGTGCAAGGGGTGCAGTCGAGAGGGTAGCCGACGCGTCGGGACGAGCAGGAGGAATGTACACCACGTGACCAAATTACGCAATGATCTACGTATTAGTCTCGCCGTCAAAGAACGTGCGAAGAATGGGTATAATGCACGTCTCAATATAGAGCGCTGGAGAACTCTTCGACATTTCTCGTATTACCAGGAAGTGCCAGAATTATGAAGGACCTGCGTCTTCAAATGCGAATTAATCGCTTTCGGTATTACCCTTTAATTAAACAGGTAAAGCGCAAAAGTAAGTGACACCAGCGACTCCCGGACCGTTTTCAATAAAGCCGAATGGCAAGTAAATTTCCATTTAGATTAAGTCCACTTTAGAACTGCGATGGCTAAGACAAATGGCGGCGAGCACGGAAGGTAAATCGCGGAACATTTAGTTAATTGAAACGTCTGGGGGCCGAACGGAACACCAGAACAATTACACTGAGTGTTAACAGATGATAATGTATTCATTTCTCCCCTTTTATGTTCTGCTCCTGCATGTAGCCGGTTCCAGGGAGCATCCGACGGGGTTGCAATGCGAAAAACCATTCGGTTTAAATCTTACTCACTATCTAAACTGTGCTTATTATATTCAAATTTTATTTTGAAATTATATTCCGTCACATCAGCCATTATAGGATCAATTATTACCTAATGTAGGTATGTGTAGAAAATCAATCAGTACAGAATTAACTTCTATAAAATCAATTACTGAGGATTAAGCTACTCTAGAATCAACTATTTTATCAACTTCAACAGAATCAACTATTGAGTCACCTACTGCTGAAGCAGCATCGGAAAAATTTTGTAAAGGAGCTTATTTTTAAAAAAATTCGGCTTTTAAAGTTCTTCGATTGTAAGTGGTTGGAAATGTTTTTAACAAGCCAGTCAGGCTGTAACTTTCTTTTAGTCCATATAATTCGGTCGTTCCTTGAAGTCGGCAACTTTGTTCAAAGCGGAAGTTTCGCATCGAATTTGTCGTCAGATCACGTGCACTATTTTGCTTATTAAACTCCTTACGAATGGATTTTTAAGGAGATTTATGAGAAGTTTTGTGGTTTTTTTTTTCGAAAATAATGGCCGTTTCTTTGTGATGTATTTTCTTAAATATTACTCTTATTTTTGTGAACATTGTGTAACTAAAAATTGATGATATTTGGGAATACATTATTCGCCTAGCAAAAACTGCCTTTCGAGAGGAAAATTCGAAATTTCATTTAAAAATATAAAGCCCTATAAAATCGCTGACACAATGACAAGGAGAGCGCTGGCTTGCCGGCAACGATGACGGGAAACGTCCATTAGTTTCCTCTCCCGCTCCTGCTGAAATCTCTTAATCAGACCATTAGCGAGCATAGAGAGTATACTGTGCTTCGGTAAGCAGTCTCACGAAAAGCCTATTATGATATTAAACAGCCCTTTCCTGCTATTATCTCCCGACCACTTCAAACGTTTTACTAAACATGGACATTATCATGCTAAATAAATCTCCGCTGTTTTGTTATTTTTAATCTATCGTATGAATCGGTTATTAAATTAATACCTACTACTTACCCAATAATTACTTACTACAAGCGAAAAAAGTAGTTGCAGTAACTTTTAAAACTTAATAACTTCAAGTTTAGTGACTCGAGAGCCAGATTAGCTATTGAGGAACTTCTTCGATGTTTTCTTTTAATTAGTTCCAGGATATTTTTCTATTAACTTTATCTGCTAATTATGCGCAACTAAATCAAATTTAATTTCTAATAAATTCTATTTTTAACCTTCGTAGGTATTTTTAAATCTTGCGCTAATAACATCGATGATTATAAATATTTCAATTAGAATTAGAATAATTTAAATCAAATATCCTGAATTTAAAATAAATTTTCGGTGTAACCATTCAGATTGCCATCAAATAATGCGTTTATTGCCGAAGGAAAAAACAATAATAAAATCTCTCTCCCCTTGGGCACGTGCGATGAAATTGATATTTTTCATAAAGTCCGCGACGGAATAAAGAAATCTTTGAAATCGGATATTAGCAGGAGCGTTTTGCAGGAATTAATTATCCTGCTGTGGAACCGAAAGGGACATGAATGCGCGGATCTGAAATATCGCATTCAGACAGGAACGACCGGCATTCAACCAACTAATGAAGTCTGTAAAGTTGGTAATTAGACCAAAAATTCCTCGGTAATAAGTTTGATGGAGAATAATAACTCAAAGGAGCAGAATTTGAGGGGGTTCTTTAATGATGCTATATATGTATGTTATATGCAACTGGATTTATATAATAATATCAAATTTATAAAATCATAAGTAATTATTTTGCCAAATAAAAATTGTTTAATTAATGATGGCCGTATCCACCGTGGTGCTCATGGTGAGCCGGTTCATGGTGATGGGCCGGTTCATGGTGATGGGCCGGTTCATGGTGATGGAACGGTTCAAACTGAGGAACTGGTTCATGGTGATGGACTGGTTCATGGTGAGGTGGTTCATGATGGTGAGGAGGTTCATGGTGATGAACCGGTTCATATTGTGGTTGATGGTATTCCGGTTTGTATTCTGGTTTGTATTCTGGTTCGTGGTATTTTGGTGGTCCATATCCCCCTGGGACGGCAGTTACAGCAGCAATGAATAATAAGGCAGCAATCTAAAAATAATCAATTAACTCAGTTAGTTAATTATCGTAACCGTTTAATTTAAAAAAAACTTGCATTAGATATTAAAAAAAAACAGTGAACTATTTAGGATAAAATTAAGTTTTAAAAATTACGAAACATTCCATACCTAACTAACTTACATAACTTGATTGTTTTAGTCCAATAAACAATTATATTTTAAATTATTAAAAATATAAATTTAAATTTTTGCAACCTGGTATTACCACCAGGAGAGTGTGAATAAGAATCATATTTTTAACATTAATTTCTAAATATATGAAATTCCCTAAAGTAAACAAAATACGAAATGTCCAGACGAAAAAATATTATATATAATAAAATATATAATTATAATAATAATAAAAATACTTACAGTTAATTTGTACATTTTGCTTCTGGATTAGTTTCTCTGGGCAAATTCAAAATCACAATAAACTAAAGGAGAAG